GACCTGAGCCGAAGGCAGTCGCTTAACCAATTGAGCCACCCAGGCGCCCTTGGCTTAAGGTTCTTGTTCTTGTAAATTTATATTTGATAAAATGCCCAAATCTTAATTGTACTATTCAGTATGTTTTGATAAATGCAAACATTTATGTAACACAAACCCGTATGAAGGTACAGAAAGTTCTCTCATACCTTTTCATTTTATCCCCACTCTTACCCCTAGAGGCAAGCACTGCTCTGATTTTTTTCTACCATGGAATAGTTATGCCTGTTCTAGAACTACACATAAATACAGTATGTGCTCTTTTGTGTAAGGCTTCTTTTACTAAGCATAGTGTTTTTGAAATTAATCCATTTTGTTGCATGTATCAATATTTCATTCCTTTTAAAAGCTGATTAGTTTTCCATGAAATGAATATAACAATTTATCTATTTACCTTTGTGGGTTCTTTTTTTTTCACAATTTGAGCCTATTATAAATAAAACTTATATTATTGCACAAGTCTTTCTGTGGACATTTGTTTTCATTTCTCTTGGATGAATACCTAAGATTGGAAATACCGGGTCATAGGCTATGTGTATATTTAGTTTTCCTAGACCTTTTTCCGAAGTGATTACACCATTTTTTACTGCCCCCCCCCCCAACATTTGATGTTATTCTTCTTATCTATTCTGGTGGGGGTGGAGCTGTGTCTTATTTTGAACTATTTTCCCTCTTTCACATTTTAAGGAATCTAGGGAGACAGGCCATGCCTGGGGTAGGTACTTAACAATGCAGTCAGGGACCCAGGCACTTTATAGCTTTTTGTTCATCCTTAGTGGATTGATCATAGTTCCATGCATGGCATCTGGGGTAGGCAGTCCTGCCTCTTGGTATTCCTGCCCTTGTGTAATCTCCTCTCATTGATTGTGGGCTGGACTTAGTGACTAGCTTTTTTTTTTATTTTAAGATTTATTTATTTGAGAGTGCGTGCACGCATATGCCCCCAGGGTGGGGGCAGAGGGAGAGGGAGACAAATCCTCAAGCAGACTCCCTGCAGAGCATGGAGCCTGGATCCAGGGATCGATCCCAGAACCTTGAGGTCATGACCTGGGTCAAAATAAAAAACTGGATGCTCAACTGCCTGAGACATCCAGGCACCCCTAGCTTTTAATAGAATATAGCAGAAGTAAGGGGATGCCACTTCTCAGATTGTTATAAAAAGAATGTTGCTTTTTTCATGCGCATTCTTTCTCATTCTTTTTTCTCGGGAAAGCCAAATTGCCATATTATGAGGCAGCTCACAATTGCCATGTTGTGAAGAGACCCCGTGGATGTGATGAGGGACAATGGGGCCTGCCAACAATCAAAACAGTGAGCTTAGAAAAAGATCTCCCCCTAGTTGAGCATTCAGATGAGACTGCAGAACCACACCTGGATTCCTGACCCACAGAAAACAAGATAATAAATGTTTGTTGTTTTAAACCATCAAGTTTTGGGGTAATTTGTTACATAACAATAGATAACTAACACGACACCTCATTATCGCATATCATAAGATGGCTTCTGTACCTTCAGGGTCTCATGTTCATGCTCCACACACAGTAAGAAAAAGTGTGAAAGGCAAAGGACAAAGAGGTTTTTCACATCAATCTGTTCATTTTTATCAAGAACTCAGAACCTTTAAAAAAAATCTCACTCAGCAGACTGGTTTATATCTTATTGGCCAGAGATAACACCACATGATCACTCTTAGCTAGAAGGCAGCTAGAGAGAAGGGGGGACCTAGATGGAGTTTGCATCAGCCAACTCTCAGTCTCTGGCACATAAACCATTTCAGAAACCCCATAAAATTTTTAAAGACCACTTCCTTAACACTACTCCAGCCAAGTGGCCTTTTGAGGAAATTTTGAAAAAGGACCTATTCAAATGAAAATTTCAGAAAACTCCTCAGGGCCTGGATTGCAGGCTTAGATTTCTCATTTGTGCCCCACACCATTCTGGGAAAACTGCAGTGCTATCTTCCACTGTTACTTCTATGCCTCCAGTCCTTTGCAATAGAAACTTCAGAGTCATCTGGAAATATCCCTGATCACTCTCTGCCCCAGCAAAATGGCTTTTCAAGTTCTGCTAATAACTACAGCCTTCATACTTTGTTAATCCCTCCCATCTCCTTCTTTACTGACCTTTTTTTTTTTTTTTTGTAAGATTTCATTATTTGAGAGAGAGCGCGCATGTGCGCACAGTGTGTGGGCAGAGCAGAGGGAGAGGGAGAAGCAGCCTCCCCACTGAGCAGGAAGTCCTGGGGCTCTATCCCAGGACCCTGGGATCATGACCTGAGCTGAAGGCAGATGCTTAACCGACTGAGCCACCCTGGTGTCCCATTGCCCTCAGGATAAAGCTTTAACTTCTTCCCGTGGTAGCAAAGACCCTGCATAACAGGATATGGCCCACTTCCCCAGCCTTAACTCTTTGATCTGGACTTGGTGTTCCCACAACACCAAATTGCTGACCTCTCCTGCCTTTGCTTATACTGTCCCCATCTGCCTGGTAGGGCTTCACTTTTGATTGAGAACGCCACTTGATATCCTTAGGGATTCAGCTATGGTGACAACTTTTCCAGGAAGTTTTCTAGGACTACTAACTCCTTCAACAGTGGGCCTGCTGGCTTCCTCAGTAGCTCAGTAGTTGTGTTCAAATCCTTTTCCCTTAATGGGGGAAAAGGACATACTAGGTTGACCTAGTAGAAAAATCAAATAAAACAATAGGATATGGAATGAAAAATAAGTCTCCCTCCTATTCCTGTCCCCCAGTTTCTTTTCTCCAGTTTCTTAATGCATATGCAAGTATATTTTTTCATATTATTTTTGCACAATCTTAAGGTGTTTTGTGCCTTGTTTTTCCAATTAACACTGTATTTTGGAGATCATTGTATCACTTCACATAGATCTATCTCATTCTTTAAAGAGATGCAGCAATATCTTGTATGCATATCTTAATTTGCTCAAGCAATTTGTTGTCGGACATCTGGGTTATTTCTGATTCTGCTCTGACAAGTAGTGCCGCAAAGTCCAACATCTTTGCACAAATGGATTTGAGTACAGGTGGAAAATATCTTTTCCACAGTTTCTTAGGGGCAGAATTGCTAGATTATAAGGCTAGGTCAAAGGCCAAGAGGATTGTAAATTTTGATATAAAGCTCTAAATAGTCAGCCGATTTATTCTTCCCATCAACAATCCAGCTCTGCTGTATTCGAGTTAGGCCATCTACCATAGTAGTCTGGATATGTTTTGGGGGCGGGCATTTCCTAGTATTCACATTTGTCTGGCAGAATTGGCCTTCAGTAAATATTTGACTTAATGTTGAATTTTATGTCTAAGTGCCAAGTCCAGGGCTGGCATATTGCAGACTCAGCAGGTATCTATTACAATTCCTCAATAATTAGAGTTGCTAACATTTACTGAAGTGTATTAAATGCCAAGACCAGCGTAAGCTCTTTTCCTTTCGCCTCTTTCACTCACGTTCTCCTTCCTCCCGGGGAGAGGGCGTGCCCAGCACCACGACCCGCCCTATCTGTGCATTCGTTGGCCAAACCCGACGCCCGTTACTGCCGAGTCCCGCCCAAACCGCGCCCCCACGCAGTCCGCAGGGCCGAGAGAAGGCGTGGCTATTGTGCCGTTGGAAGATTCAGACGGTCTCCTCTCGTGAGAATCGGGACGTGCCCGAGGACCGGCTTGGTGCGGGTGGGAGCGCGCTCCGGCGCGAGAGGCCAGTGGTCGCTGCGGGCGCACGCCCTGCCCCTCCCCCTCTCCGGCACGCAGGTTCCGGATTAAGCCTCCGTCTGACCAGCGGCGGCCGGGCGGATGGAGGCTGGGCCGCCGAGGTACGAGGGGAGGAGCCGGAGCTGCCGCCGCGGCTGCTGCTGCTGCTGTAGATGAGCATGTCTGCAACTCGCGCCAAGAAAGTGAAGATGGCCACCAAATCGTGCCCCGAGTGCGACCAACAGGTGGGCGCCGGGGGCCGGCGGGCCGGGTGCGCGGGCGGGCGGACGGGCGGCCGTCGCCGGCGGCCGTTGGCTGTGGAGAGGCCGCCTCGCCGGGTGGTCTGGCCCTTGGGCTCGGTGGCCACGGTGGGAGCCCGGTGGGAGGCCGGGCTGAGCCGAGGGGATGCCAGGGAGACTCCCGGGGTCGCAGTCCGGCCGGTGTCCACCTGGCGGCGTTAGCCGGGCGACTGTGTTGTGTCCTGCGGCCCGTGGCGCGGGAGGGAGGCGTGGGTTTGTCTGGAGCGGTCGGGGCGCCCTGTCCGAAGCCTCCGAGAGTCGCCCGGCCGGCTCTGGGTGACAGCGGCGGGAGTGTGGGGGCAGTGGCCTAAGTGGACGAGCACGGCCCCTTCAGCCCCCTTCTGCCCCGACGAGAATGCCCAATGTGCCCGACTCCGAGTCCAGGCTCCTGGCTCCTGGCTGCGAAAGCCGCTTTCGCGGCTGCTTTGTTCCCATCAGATGTATACTGTGACAAAAAGGGCCGCAGCGATTATGATATTTTCCTTTTAGATGTCAATAAATTGGTGATCTTAATATGTCTTTTAATACTTCATATAACCCAAATAATCATTACTTTGTTCTAAATTTTTGATAGAACACTGCTGAAAAGCCCTACTTTTCTAAGCACTCCCCTCTTAAAATGGTATGTATTTGTCTAAGTTTTTAAAAAGATGAGTTTGCCATTCCTACCTGTGTGTGGTTTCTTGAATTTTTAATATCAGCTTTATAAACTAATTTCGTGAGGTCATTCAATGGCTTTGTGACCACCAGTGGTCTAGGGTTCAGCTAGCCATTCAGGCCTACCCTGAGCCCAGATACAAACACTGCATGTAATCAGAACAGCATCAGAATTGTGGTCAGTAAGGATCCTCACAGCATACTAGGGGCCTTCTCTGCCTCCCCAGATGACAGCTCAGATGTGAAAACAAAACGGTGGAGTGGTTGCAAGACTTAACCATGGCTTAGAAATTACATGTTTCTTAGCCCAGGAGTAAGGCCTTTGCTTCCAAGGTTTTGCAGGGAATGGCATGATTATATTTTTTGTACTTCGGGAAGCCTAAAACTGGCTTGTCACCTCATGCCTTCCAGTCCAGATGCCAATTACGGGCCATTTTTACCATAAGCAATATTGTCTAATAATATTATTTGATTAGGCTGCCAGGGTCAGAGTGCTAGACTTAACCAAAGGTCTTTTTTTCCTCAGGAAGGACTTTTGTTAACCCTTTACTAACATGTCATAATCCCTTGAAAAAAAATTTTTTTAAAAGATTTTATTTATTTATTTGACAGAGACAGAGATAGCAAGAGCAGGAACACAGCAGGGGGAGTGGCAGAGGGAGAAGCAGGCTTCCCGCCGGACAGGGAGCCTGATGTGGGGCTTGATCCCAGGACCCCGGGATCATGACCTGAGCTGAAGGCAGACGCTTAACCGACTGAGCCACCCAGGCACCCCCCCCACCCTTGAAAATTTTTTAACTGTTTCCTTGGTCTATAAAATTTGGTTGTTATTTTTTTTTTTTTTAAATATTTTATTTATTTATTTGACAGAGAGAGACACAGCGAGAGAGGGAACACAAGCAGGGGGAGTGGGAGAGGGAGAAGCAGGCTTCCCACCGAGCAGGGAGCCCGATGCGGGGCTCGATCCCAGGACCCTGGGATCATGACCTGAGCCGAAGGCAGACGCCCAACGACTGAGCCACCCAGGCGCCTCTAAAATTTGGTTGTTATTAACTAGAAAAAGTAGAATTCATTTGAAACTCCTTCAATTAAAACCATCTGTAAGACATCTTTTATGCCATAATGCCGTGTCTATCTTTTCAAAATAATTACCTCTTTTTACTTTCTCTCCCTTAGTTAAGAGAAATTTACTGCCTCCTCTAAATATTTCACTCAGCAGTGTGTGTAGTTTTCATTGTACAGATTTTGTACATATTTTGTAAATTTATCCCTATGAATTCAATTTTTTGGATGCTATTGTGAGTGGAATTGTTTTTCGTTTTATCAGTGTTCTTTATGTATAGAAATACAATTGATTTTTTTCATTGTGGTAAAAATAAAATTCACCATTTAAGCCATGTTAAAGGGTCTATTTCAGTGGCATTAATATATTTACAGTGTTGTACAACCATCACAACTATCTAATTCCAGAACATTTTTATCACTCTGAAGTGAGACTTGTTTCCAATAAGCAGTCACTCTCAGTGCCACCCTCTTTCCAGCCCCTAGCAACCACTAATTTGCTTTTTGTCTCAACCTTCATAGAATTGAATGGAGTTCAGGCCTTGCTCTGAATTAGGCTTTGGCTTAAGGGAATGTTGTGGCTTGTTTGATCTTTTTTTATCCAGACCACTAAAACTTTCTGCATATCAACTATAAGGCTGTTTCACTTTCTTATCATTCGTGTGTTCGCTGGAGTAGCACCATTTCTTTCAAGAAATTTTCCTTTGCATTTATGTTTGGCTCAAGAGGCCTAACTTTCGGCCTTTCTTGGCTTTTGACATGCCTTTTGTACTGAGCTTAATCATTTCTAGCTTTGGATTTAAAATGAGAGACGTGTGCCTTTTCCTTTAACTTGAATACTTAAAGGCCATTGTAGGGTTATTAAGTGGCCTAATTTCAATATTGCTGTGTCTTAGGGTACAGGGAGGCCTGAGGAGAGGGAGATAGATGGGGGAATGGCCAATTGGTAGAGCATTCAGAACACACACATTTATTAAGTTTGCTGTCTTGTATGGGTGTGGTTTCATGGCACTCCAAAACAATTAAAATGGTAACATCAAAGATCAGTGATCACAGATCACCATAACAAAGATAATAATGAAAAAGTTTGAAATATTTCAAAAATTAACACAATATGACAAAGACACGAAGTGAGCAAATGCTATTGGAAAAATGGTGCTGACTACTGGGTATTTACCCCAAAGACACAGATGTAGTGAAAAGAAGGGCCATATGCACCCCAATGTTCATAGCAGCGATGTCCGCAATAGCCAAACTGTGGAAAGAGCTGAGATGCCCTTCAACAGATGAATGGATAAAGAAGATGTGGTCCATAT